CTCCTCTCCTCTCCTCTCTCTCCTCTCCTCTCCTCCTTTGCTCGATCCCTGCTCGTTACCCTTATCCCTCGACCTCCTCCCCCTTCCCGTCTTCCTACCCTTCCCTCCTCCTCCTCCTCCTCCTCCTCCCTACCCTTCCCTCCCTCCCTCCCTCCCTCCTCTCTCCCTCCTCTCCTTACATTTATTCGCCAGCTGCATCAAGAAGAGCTCGATGCGCTGAGGAGGAGGGTTGAGATGAGGGAGATGCAACATGCAGAGGAGAAGGATCAGTTGAAGTCACAGCTATACAAAGACATTCAACCTCTTGCTATCTCCAAGGTGACAAGACTTGAGAAGCTTGTCTTATTTCTGTTATGACTCAACACGTGTTGTGTTGTGATGTCATGTGGAATGAGATATATGTCTGTTATTTCTTCGCTTCTTCTTGTTCGACTCTCTTAGAATCTCTTCAAGCTGTTCTTCCACATTCAGTCTGCTTGATTCTCTTGTGCTTATCTCACATTTGTTACGTCCAATTCGAGTTTTCTCTTGTTCGTCAACTTTTCATCACAATTGTACAACAATCTCACCATCCTGTCTCGTGTTCAGGTGTTGGAGGTTGTTTTGTCTTCTCTGGACCAGCATTTGCAATCTTCATTATTGTCATTTGCCGGGATCGATGAAGAAAAACTTTCACAGCTCATGACATCCAAAGAAGAAGATGCGCCAAAGGCAGAGAGCAAAACCACAAGAACCGCAGAAATCACAAAAACTTGTCTTCGTTCTCCGAGTCTGTGATGGCAGCTCTTGACAACATGGTGAATGATGTAAGGCTGTTGAGATGTTGTCTTGTATATTGACTGTCATGATAGCCCGACGATGAGAACGCGCTGCTGTTCCGTGCGAGAGTGATGTCACTTTGTAGGAAGGTGGAAGACACTCTTGGGAACAGGTTTGATGTTATGACTTGACATCAACGTCACAGTTGTCATGCAAGTGAACAGGATGAAAGACATTCAGAACGCAAAAGAAACAATCTGCAGAGCATATGAGAGTGCAATGGTGCGGATGAGCGATGAGATGAAAAGTTTCCAGGTGAGGAGAGAGACGGAGATTGCAATCGTTTTCTCTGACTTGTTCTTGTTCAGGTGGAGATGACAAAAAGGCAGAATACAAAGAGTGAATCGGATAGAGTATCAACAGAGCAGGTAGTGATCAACAAACTTTGCTGTCAGTTGGAACTCAGTCTGCTGTTGACAGTTACAAGCCATCAAAAGAAAGCTCCTTGAACTGCAGAAACAGCAGGAGAGGAGTGAAGAAGATGTCCGAAAGGTAAAAGTGGACTGAGAATGCGGAGAACGAAAATTTATGACAAAGATGATGGTGATGGTAATGGTTACGGAGACGATGGTGATGACGATGATGATCTTGATCATGATTGTGTCATAGATGATGACTTAGAAGAAGTAGAAGTAGAAGAAGTTGATGATGATGATGATGACGACGATGATCTGACGACGACAACGACGATGGTCTTGAGTTGATGGATACTGTGTTGTTGACAATTCTAACGAATCATTTCTGCCACAGGAGATCAGAGAAGAGCTCGAACAGACTTACCAAGAGAGGGAGAAGGAGTTGATGAAGAAGATAGAGAGCAGGAATGAGAGACAGGTGCTGTTTCTTTCTACATATCTACCGTTGTCACATGTAGTCTTCCAGATTTCTGTCCTGCGTTCAGAACATGCAGTTGAGGTGCAGCAAATACAGCAGAAACATGACGATGAGGTCAGAGTGATTGATAGGACTGGACGCGCTTCTCACAGGGTTGTGTTCAGATCCAGAAACTCAAGAAGTATATGGAGAATGAGATCTGGAAGTTTGAGGTGAGTTGAGGAATTTAAGACCTGAAAATCTTGTGTTGCTGAATGTTTTTTTCCTTCCTCCCTCTTGCTCCTCCTTCACCTTCCTCCTCCCTCTTGCTCCTCCTACCTCCTTCCTCCTTCCTCCTGCCTACCTCCTTTCTCCTTTCTCCTTTCTTCTACCTCCTACCTCCTACCTCTTACCTCCTTTCTCCTTTCTCCTTTCTCCTTCCTCCTTCCTCCTACCTCAACAGTCTAAAGCGCAAGAGGCATCTCACAAAGTCAATCAAAATTCATCCGAATTCTCCCGCATTGTTATGCTGAATGAAAAGCTTCAGGTAAAGCACTTCGTCATTCTG